GAGGTGATATTAAGTCTCATATCATCTTATATCACTCATCCCGTCCCCATCGGATAGAGCAGTAGCTCAGTAGTAAAAACCAATCTTCCTCGATCGAGTGCTTCTTCATGCACAGAATCAGGCTGGTGACATTCAGTATTTTCTTATTAGGCACTTTCTGACCAAGCAGTTCCAGGGACTATCCCACTGGCGGGGCTTCCCCGAGGACTACATGTCTTGAACTGATTAGGCAACAAACTCGCAATGGTTGGCACATGCCGACGTCATATTGCCGCTAAGGATTTTCTTTAAATTTTATTGTCGTTAAGTGTACAAGGAGCCACTAAGCTTCTGTAGAAACTTCTGTCACACACCCTCTTAACATGCAGCCTGTGTCCTTTTTCAGGGAGCCATGGTTTCTCGTAGACACATCTTGCCTACTTTCAACTCATTTTCAGTATTTTAGTGGCTTGTTTCTGTCGCTTTTCTCATTCTTGCAGGTCGTTTGGCAGCAGCGAGAAAAGATCGCAGTGTTAGTATTAGGGCTGGCAGGATTTTATCTCATCCTGCGATCAGCTGCACACGCGTCACCTCAGAGCAGCAGGTTGGTGGCAGAATTGACTTCTGTTTTAATTATATTTCCCCTCAGGAGCAAAGGCATTACTGTAACAAAGACAACCAATGCAGAGCAGACCTCTCAGGCAGCTGGGATACAGCGGAAGTTTTAACCAGATGAGTGTTTCATTTTGAAATTTCTGTTTTGGCAGCGGGTTAGGACGGTCGGTGTATTTTTGTAATTGCGGAGTCAGCTTCTAATGATCTGGCAGTTCAGCTGAAGAATCTATGTGGATGGTGCCATCGTGTTATAATCACACAGGGTGCTAAATCCTGAGAGTCACATTGTTACTACTGTTGCTGTGCTTCAGCCCACACTGACGTAGCCTTGTTTTAGCTTTTGAGTACAAAACAGTGGCAAATGCTGGGTTTTAAAAACAATAAAGGTGTCTAAACCCAAACTACAACTACATTACAATCATTGCAGTGCCTCAGGGAATTAACAGGAAATGTTTGCTTTGCACAGTTTGTCTTGTGGACTGCTCCGTGGACACCTCCTAAAACCTACACACCAGGCAGTAGCCAGAAAAACAGGTTTCAAAGCCTAACTGGTAAAGAGAGTAATTACATGTCTAGAGGCTTAAATGGGCAGAAATAAGTGTTCTTCCTTTCTGATCGGGTCGTGTTTTTGTCCTCGGGTATGAACTGAGCTTGTTAGGTGATACTGACGGCGTCAGATGTGACGCTGCTTTTTGTCTGACTGTGAGAAGACACAAAGTTGACCTCTGAATCTTTAATTATTGAGGATCAGATTGAATTCTCAAGTAAAATTCAATATGTTACAGCTTTGACACTAAGTGCTGTGTGGTATTTTATCAACACAGTTCAATTACATGCCCACAGAGCAGCAACAGAAATGTCAGTGACATCCTGTTAGTGTGTTTAAATATTGACACATCTGCACACTTCCTGTATTGTGAAGTGGTGACCAACACAGTGTTGTTTCGCTGTGTGCACAGAGATCAGCAGCTCAGGGTATTTGTGCTTTTACTTGACTGGAAATTTGAAATGGTTCTTGTGAAAAGAAGAAGAACTGATGAGTTGTGCTAGTGTGGATCCTGTACGCTGCAGGGAGCTTTTACTGCTGCTCTCTTACTCGTGTCAGACCTCAGCACTGTACCGCATACACAACATAACTGTAGATATGTGGGTTTCGGGACGTTTTCATTACAAATACTAGTATCTACTGCAGTACAGGCCCATGTTTTCAGAATTAGCTATGTGGCCTGAGCAGCTTTCCTGTTGACGGTCTGTTGTGGTAATCATGAAGGAAGTAAAATAAAAAAAAAAGTCAGACTTTTAATGTAAGCACTGTAGGGGTGCAGCTAACTATTTTTGTTTTCACATAAAGCAAATAATTTCTCAATTATTTAATTGAGCAGGGAAGAATGCTTTTTTTTTTCAGGTAACCCTTATTAAGTACATGGAGATATAACAAGTGCCCTCATTTAAAACCTGACATCAGATGTTTGGAGTTCAACTCAAACGATTTATTCAGTTATCAGGATAATTGCCAGGTAATTTTCTGTCACTCAAGTCTAATGCACTGACATGCTGTTAAGGGCGTTTCTGGGGGATGTATAAGTGTGTTAGATAATCTTGTAAGGGTCTCCCAGCATCAGGTGCTGCTTTGTCATCACTGCCATAGATTTTGGGGGTTTAAACAACAGTTGCCTGTGGAAGGGTGGAAGAGGCTTTTGACTTATTAAGATGGTGTTTGCTTTGAGGTAAATGTGTTCTCCTTTAAGTGAGCTAACAGCTGGTTCATACTGGAGCAGACATAATGGAGGGGAAATATGTGACTGCAGCCAAAAGCAAGGCGCACTGTGGCTGTATCCACCCACTCAGCTAGCATATAGCAGGTACTAGCATAGGACACAGCCATGCTAGCACTTGTCACTGTTCAAGAGCACACAATGTCTTTTTGTTTCCTGACTTCCCCGCTGCAGTTAGACCACGATCACTGACTCCCAGTCCCCCCTGTACTCTGCTGCAGCTCCCTCTGGAGCAAATGCGCACCTCCTCAGAAATGTGTCGATGCTGTAGCGGCTGTCAGGACGCAATACGAAGAAAGGCTCAGTAATTTCTTCCTCTTTAGTAAAATCAGATGCGTTTTGTGGGCACGTGGAGCTTCACACCTACAGCAGATACGTTGGTTCTGAGTGTCTGATTGTTGTGTGTTTTAAAGATGGCACATGTGAGTGTGTTTAATGAGCTCTGAGTTTGTTCACTCAGATTATTTTTTTCATGTCACTTCTCTGACTGAAGGGCTGCTCAAAGTCCAACACCAGTGTTTGTGCTACATTTATACACTTGTGAGAGCCACCACTCATGAATTTTCAGCGTCACAGCGATCCCCTGTAGATAATGTTGCCTTATTTATCATTGTGTACCAGCAGCGGTTCTGTCACTCAGACTGCATCGGCACAGCAGGAGCCTCTTTGTCTGCTGCGGTCATCCGCTCCCGTAAGCAAATGTTGATGGATAAAGCTGCTGTTGCTGAGGATTGCTGTGGTGAAAGTGATGAAACCTGTTCGCAGCACGGTCAGAGTATTATTCAGAGTAACACAGGAAGTGTTTAGAATATGAGGTTGCTGTTGAGGTTTTAATGTGAAAATTCAGTTGGCACCCATAATTCCCAGGTTACCTTTATTGTATTGGGTGGTGAAAGACATCTTAGAGGGATACTATACAAACAGTTTGCACGGTGAGATAAGTGAAGTAAAGTGTTCTGTGTAATTTGGCTGAACTAAAAAACCCAAAGCACAAGATTGACTTTTTTTTTTTTTAAAAGCACCTGATGTTTCATTACCAGTGTCCTCACCCACAGCTGCACAACACTCTGCAGCTACACTAACCATTCATACTGTACTGGTAACTTTCGCCCCTCCAGTACCTGTTTTTAGTCCAAGTAGGCAAGCCGTTTACAGTAAATACTACCAGAGCTCCAAAGTGCTATGGCTTCATACATATAACCCAGAGTCAGCTGCTGATGATTCAGTGGGGCACACAAACAGGCCTGCTCTAAAAGAGGAAGTGTTTACTTCCTAGGTTCTTGTTCCTGTAGCTGCGGCTGCAGTCGAAATGCTGCATCCACCCTTTATTCCCACTCTCCTATAAAAGTCTGCATGCACTGGCCCAGGTTGCATTCACACAACCTACTAGGAGGCTCTGACTGTAGCAGTTGTAGTACAGGTTGTAGTATTTTATTGGATCACAAAATTGACAAGTTTCAATAAGAATGCATTTCAGATGGAGGGATATGTAGGTTTTATTATTGTTTTAGCTACAGAGCATGGCTGTAACGAGAAAGCTGTCTGTGCTACGTATAATATTCATGTATCAATACTGGTTTTAAAGAGTCTTGTTATGCATCAGCAGTTTGACTCTTACCAAGACTATTGAACATGTAGAAATGTGCATAATTCTTTGTAAATAGGTGCTGTCATTGCTAACTTTTTATGCACTGCATTTTACAGACAGTCCCATAGACCTGCTGTGTATTTACATCTCAGCCAGTATAAAGACCATTCGTACTCCTCAGTGCTCAATATTTCACCTTGACTGATTGTGAAGATGCCTGTTATCATGATATGTGCCCTTCATGAGTTAACCAGCTGTAATGCACACGTGCTTAGTCAAATGCAGAAGTGTTCTGAAGTCCCCATTCACTCTGTTGCATCTGTAACTCGCACACAAGGCAGCTCAAGGTCAGCCAGCAGTTTTAGGATTATCAAGCCATCCAGAAATCACTGGATTATCAACCAGCCATCACACCCATTTTCTTCAGGAAACTTCTATTTATATCTATGTACTTGGACTTGAACCTGGAGGTAAAAGGTTATTTGTGACTGTGTAGTTTGTCTGCTGATGGAGGACAAAACAGCAGCACCTAGCCACAAGAACAAACTGGGCAAAAAGAACACCCACTATCACAGTGTAAATACTGGAGAAAGTCTAACCTAGCTGCCAGGAGCCAGAGGTTGTTCTCGCTTGTACATGCTCAGTCTCTGCCTGCCAAGGTGTCTGTAGGTGAACGCTGGGCGCCTTGCTCTCATGCATGTTGGATGCTGATGTAGTGTTAATGGGTTTGTACAGCGGGTGCTAATTGATTCGTCCTCCCCGATCTCATTCTCATTAACACCCGTTCCCAGGGTAGCTTGTATCTCTCCAGGTGCCCCCGCAGCCTCCCGTGTGTCCCTCCTCCCTCCCTCCCTGCAGCTTCGCTCTGTCAGGGGACAGGTGGCATGGAGAGAGCCAAAGTGAGGCCGGGATCACAGATGGAGGTGGAGGAGCATGGGACCGGAGCCTCTGACATCCACTTATTGTTGCATCTGGCTGTGTGAACTGGTAATGACATTAATCCACTTCTTCCTCTCTCCACCCCCACCACTTTGTGTTCACAGCATTCGCAGTGTGATGCAGAAGTACCTCGAGGAGAGAGATGAGCTGACTTTTGACAAAATTTTCAACCAGAAAATTGGTAAGTCTCTGTGTTTTTGCTTCAGAGAATCTGATGAAATGCAGTAGACGCTGTGATTGGATGACTTTCTCTTGCAGAGGGATGACAATGCTCTGCACAGACAACTCCATAAAACAGTTGTTGAACTCTGTCCTGTTTGATTGTGATCACATTCACACAACCACTGTATTTTTGTGTGTGTTTTGCCAGTGTCATCCAACCACAAAACGAAGTACAATGTGGTTCCATTAATTCCATTGTTGCTGCTATGTGGTACTTTTAGCCTTGGAAGCAATGTGCAACTCCTGTACTCCCACTGGATGTTACATCTACTACACTGATTGCTTGTGGTTGGAGGTGAGCTGAGTGCTCTTATTGGTCTCACTGGGGGTTCTTCCATTACTGTTGCTGGTCCTGAGATCACATAGAGGATTGACCACGAACACAACAGTTTCTTTAAACCATTCTGCTAAGGATGAACCACCTGTTGCTCTAATAACACAGTATTGCCTTTTTTTGCACGTTGACATTCGGTGCTTCAGGAGACTCAGTCCTGAAGTACCAAATGTCCCAGACTAGAATTTCTGATGGTGTCGCCATTAACTGTTTAATACAGATAACCCCACCGTTACTTCTGCTTGCAGACATATTGGCTCTAGTTGTGAGGTGACTTTTTGTGTTTAGTGTAAATGCGGAGGGTCATTTTTCCTGTTTCCTCCTGCCCTCCAGTCGGCGGCAGCGCCTCTGTGCTGGCTCCTCTGAGTGTTTCGGCTCTGAGCACACACGCTGTGTGCCAGTAGTTTTGGCGTATCAGGGGACCACGGTCGCCCTGCAGGCTTCTACTAGGTTTACTTACTGTTCTAGTTCTCAGCAGCCCTGTGAGAATAGACTGTGTTAATTCACCCTGTCTCCTCTTTGTCTTCAGCGCTGCCTCCATCAAGCTTGTTGCTCTGTTTCTCTTACACTTTGTGTCGTCACTCCATACTTCCTCTCTTCTACTGTGTGTGTGTGTGTGCGTGCGTGCGCACGTGCTCATGCTAGACATCGGTGTGAAGCTTATGACACCCATCCAGTAATCCACTGACCTTCCCACGTGAATTTTATGATTTGAACTGCGCTGAAACCCTCAACAGAATATTAGTTGCCAGCTATTTTGGTAACTGATTAATCACTTGAGTCATTTTTCAATTACAAATACTAAACATTGGCATGTTTCAGCTTCACCAGTGTGAGGATTTGCTGCTCTTTAATTTATTTTTTTCATTTCATTGTAAACTAAACATCTTTGGGGTTTGGACTGTTGGCCGGACATGTTGTTTTCTGTTTTACAGGCCAAACATTTCAGGGTCCCAGTTCGTTATCCACAGTTCTCTTCAGTTTCACCCAGGTCGCATAACAAACAGAACATTTTCTCTGCGACAAAAACCCCTGAATCCTGTTCCTGCAGCTGATGGGTATGAATGTGAACATCACTGTTTACACAGAGGTCATTGACCAACAGACAGTTGTTCCTCTGTGTAATGACAGATTTGAGCTGAGCATCACCCATATTATACTAAATGACGACAAATGAATTGTACAGAACACAGACATCCACCCACCAGCACAGCTGTTCAGTCGTGTTCACATCTCTGGTCCAAAGTCAGGACATCTCCCATTCATGTTCGAGGTTTGTCGGTTCCCGTACCACGTCACCACAGCTGCTGTAAACCTGTAAACACTTGAATGGCTCTGTAATGATAATGATGAACTGATGAGTCATAAAATGGTACAGAAGTGCTCATCACAACTCCCCAGAGCTCAGCAGGATGTCTTCAAATGATCTGACTCTCAGTTCACATCCTAAAAATCTCTAGTTCACAGTAAGAAAATCCGATCACATCTCATAAGCTGGAACCAGAGAATGTTTGGCACGTTTGTTTCATAAACTGCTGATGAGTTTCTGTCAGCTAATTGATTGATTTGAGTCAAAGTTTCAGTGCTGCCCTGCGTCACTGCTAATGGATGATGGGTTTTATGACCACACCATTACCTGGCTCTCATCTCCCCGTCTCCCTCGGAGCCAGAGCCTGGTTGCTGCTTGTCATTAGTCCAGCTCTCAGGTCTCATTAACTCGTCTTCTAGAAAACACTTGTTATCAAGTTAGTCAATGTGCCCGCACCTCTGGGAAATTACATTCCAGTTAATCAACATGCAGTCGTCCTCTGCTTAATTCCTCTGGTCTAAGAGTTGGCTTGGTTTGTTGCAGGGAGCTGAGCACGTTTTTCTTTGTTGCACTCATAAAAGCAATATTTCCTCATAAAGTCGAAAGTGTTTTTGCTTTAACAACTGAGGTATCTGTCACCGCTGATTGTGCTTTGCACAGACGTCCCTGTACTGGTGAGTTGAAGTCTGTATTTTGTGTGATTGTTGTCAGTTAATGTCTGTATTTGTGGCGCTCAGCTCAAATTGTTCATTATGTAGAGGGAAAGGTTTCTCTTGAAGTTTGGTATAAAGCTTAATTACAAACATTGTGCCATGACTATAACTGCAGCACGTAGCCTTATGTGAAGCAGAATTCAACTGAAAGTCAAAAGATCTCTGTGTGCACAGTGATGCTCACTTTCATTACCGGTGGCTATGGAAAAAAAGACTTTCAGCAGACACAGAGGTTGGTTGTTGGAGCAGCTAACTCAGTTTTGATCTACTGATTGGAAGAAACAAGCCAATTTAAGAGTTGTTATTTCTATTAGTCCACCTAGAGCAACGACATGTCACAGCCACGCTTGTCACTAGTGCTGTATCAACGTTCTTCAGGTTGACTCTGATGGACCAGTTGTGGCCAGTGTTGCAAATCACTTGGATCTGATTGGACTGGGCAGATCGTGCTGTTTGTTGTGCTCAGCATATATATGTGTATATAAATTCCCAGCTCGCTCCCACTTTGGGGCGGTCTTGTATTCCTTCAAGCTCAGGTCCTCTACCAGAGGCCTGGGCTTGAGGGTCCTGCGCAGTATCTAGGACTGCACTCTTCCGGACAGAGATCTCAGATGTTGTTCCTGGGATCTGTTGGAGACACTCTCCCAGTTTCGGGGCCAAAGTCCCCAATGTTCCTCCTACCACCGGG